TGTGTGTGTGTGTGTGTGTGTGTGTGTGTGTGTGTGTGTGTGTGTGTGTGTGTCTGTGTGTGTGTGTGTGTATGTGTGCGTGCGTGCGTGCGTGCGTGGGTGCGTACGTGTGCTTGTGTTTGTGTGTGGGGGGAGGGGCGTGTTTGATTGTGTGTGTGTTTGTGTGTGTGAGTCTGTGTGTATGTGTGCGTGTGCATAACTATGCATCGATATACTTAGAAACGTAGTCCTTATATCTTGTAGCGAAATTAATTTTTCTGTTACGGAATTATACTCCTGTTTCCGTCTTGCATTTTACACCGGTAACGTTGCATAGGAAAATCCGTTAAAAGTTAATTTTAAGACTTAAGCGTTGTATTTAACTAGAGTTGGTGACACTCTTTAAATTATACGGTTCTTTTTATATAATTATATCCGAGTTAACTCGATGTATATGACTAGAATCTTGCGTTGTTTGTTGTTGCGTCGGTCGCTTGAATTTGAATTAAAACTTGATGCAATAACTTTGGAGTGAATGACAAACATTTTACCGGACCTCGTATAGCCCGATGCGCTATGTTTAGAATATTAAATAGCAAGCCTGGCTAAAATGAGCATGGTTACCGATGCCAACGCATTATAGATATATGCTTGAAGGGATACATTACTCTAGTTTTTTTTTTATATTTGCAGTTAAAATAGGTTCAAATTTATGCAATAAAATTCTAGGGTGTAGTATATCCCTTTAACGAGCATTTCTCATTGTTTAGTTCTATAGAGATATGCCATTATGAGGTCGAAACCGAAAGGACGTCGGACGGTGATATAGAATTCCGTCTTAAAGTCGGTCCACGACAGGTAAGTGCAAGCGGTTATATTAAAACTTGTTTCAATCTTGATTTCTATTTTTAAATGGGATTTTTTTTAACAAAATCTATTTCATGTCGAAGTTCCGTCATTAAACCTAATAATCGGTTTGCAATCTGATTTCTGCGATTTTAAGCTAAATGTCCATTATTAACCGCTAATTTTAACCGTTTTTACATCCAAATGTAGTTTTCAAATAGGATTCAGATTTCTAATGTTGATTTTTCGTTTTTCATTGCCGTATTACATTTGTTTACTCAATTAATATTTTTGAACTAATTTGTGACAAAAATTCTATAGTGGTTCAATTAGAGTGTATGACCAAAATAGGTTAGTGCGTATTGTTCCCAGGTATTGTTGGCCGTGGGCCCGCTCCTCGTATAAAAACTAGATCTATATAGCATCATAGCTGAATTACCTGGGAAGGCCACTCCAGACTGCATATATTCCAACCAGAGGCTATAGAAGTCTTAACCTTACAGCGGCAATAACAGTATGATGATAACAAATTAATAGAACGTACGACAAAGGTCTGCATAATATCTTCATAGCGCGCATAAAAACGTCGAATTTCATGTTTACAAATATCCAAAACGATATCTATAACGCATAGAATTTTATTTTATATTTACGTGTATTTGTGACTGATATATATTATATATATATATATATATATCGTTTCACTTTTGTTTTTATTCAATCCTGATATTGTATATATATATATATTATATATATACAATATCAAGCAAAAATTTATTGAATAAAAACAAAACTGAAAAACATTTGTTTTCATTCACTCCTGATAGATCCACCCTTTATTTATGTATTTAATTATGTTTATCTTACATATGCATCAATGCAAGTTTATATGTACCCCTTGGTAATTAATTATCTTTCAGCATCCCAGCCAGCCGTCGTTAACTGATCTGCTGATCTACTTTATGAAATTGAACCCTGGCCTGATACCGCTGGTGACAAACAACTGGGAAACGATTGGCATTAAGAGCCCCGAGACGGCGTACTGCTCGCACCGGGCCGGTCAATACAGTGAGTCTTTCCTCGACGTAATATTTATTTCTCCCAGCCAAGGCCGACCAATTAATTTGTTCCAGCTGCCGCTGTTAAAACGCCGAATCAATGAAACACCTAGATTTTTTTTACAAAAGCGAACAAAGAACACATCTTATTCACTTTCTTGGCCCCTCTCTCTTTTTCTCTTTCTCCTATTTTCTCTCTTCTCTCACTACTTCGTCTGTCTTCGCTTCCATACTCATTCCCTCCTCTCTTCTATATATTTCCCTGCCCATTGCTTCGCGCGCGCTATCACTTTCTCTCCCCCTACATTTTTATTTATGTCAATTCTATCTTTTTCTTTCCTTCATAGCCATCCCTTTCAATCTCTTTTCTTATGCCATCTTTTTTCTATTCTCGTTATTCGCTGCCAGCATCTAGGTTTTAACTTTATCACACTGTCTCTCATTCCCTTCGGCGATTCCACGGAGCAACTACTTAATATATAGCGTGTTATTAATCTTGCCTGCCGCACGACCTCTCTTACCAAGAATATACAGTTGCACTCATAGTCATACTACTCACACACTACACAGTCACACTCTCTTATGTAACTAATGATGTAAGAAGAAGAAGAAGAAGAAGAAGAAGAAGAAGAAGCAGAAGAAGAAGAAGAAGAAGAAGAAGAGCACGAAGAAGAAGAAGGAGAAGAAGAAGAAGAAGAAGAAGAAGAAGACGAAGAAACAGAAGAAGAAGAAGAAGAAGAAGAAGAAGGAGAAAAAGAAGAAGAAGTAGTAGTAGTAGAAGAAAAAGACGAAGAAAAAGAAGAAGAAATAGAAGAAGAAGTAGAAGAAGAAGAGGAAGAAGAAGATGAAGAAGGGGCATGAGGAGGAGGAGGAGGAGGAGACAACAACAACAACAACAACAACAACAACAACAACAACAACAACAACAACAACAACAACAACAACAACAACATCATCATCATCATTAACAACAACAACAACAACAACGACGACGACAGTAACGACAGCAGCAACAAAAACAACAACAGAAGCGATAGCGGCGACAGCGGTAGTAGCAGCAGCAGCAGTGAAGGCTGCGTTTCATACGCTCGTATAGATAAAAGCAGCTGCATTACATCGAAAGTTCAAGGAGACGTTTCTCTTCAGTGCGCATAGCATGTAAGACAAACCATGCTGGGTTGATCTTCCCACTATACGCCAGAAACGCGAAGGAATTCGGGGAGGAATATTAGGATTTAATTATTGATTTGTTTTTCCGCAGGATTATATATAATATATTTATATATTTCGTATGTACATGGATTATTTTCTCCATGGTCTATTTCATCGATCCTGAACGGCAAGTTGTCCTTTAATACTATTTTAACGAGCAACTGTTACCGTATTATATTATTTCCGTCGTTAGGCCTAAAGGTAATGTAATTAAAATATTACTTGCAGTGACAACGAACGCGGGGAAATCACAAATCGGCACAGAGAGTGATCTAGGAGATTACGAACTCATTCAAGGTATCGTTTCGCTTAATTTTTATTTGATTTCATAGATGAGTATAATAATCAGCTTAGCTAAAATTAAATAAGGACAAGTCTCAAAAGATAAGTAAAATATACACATACTGTATTGGATTTTGTTAGTATAGGCGTTATAGGAGTAATTTTCCTTACCCTGTATATTACGCGCGTTGTAAGTTAAACACGAAGGAGAGTACGATATTTTCTGGTAAGCCATGTTTCGGTTATATTTGAATATTGGAAAGCACACGTGTATTTTTACCAGAAGGCGGAATAAAGGCTACGAATGGAATAACTGTACCTACAACATTAGGCGCCACATCGCGGACTTCCAGCAAAACATCAACACGAAGTTGTTCCGGAACACCTCCCTTACATTCGGCTGCATCTCATTCCCCACGATCTACACAATTGCATCTAGCAGGAGACCAGCAAGAGCCGCTGTACATGAATGAGGGCGTGGGTGAGTCTTCGCGCATCCCACACTGCGACGAACTACGAAAGTCAATTTCTACCGACAACACTGTCGAGAGCGGGGGATGATAGCGTAAATTGGCCAAGAAGGTCATCAGATGCCGGACTGCTCTATTGCTCTATGTCGACATTATTAAAATGCCGTGCTCAGGGGATTGGTACTATTGTAGACCAATGAATTGTGCCCTAGAAATTTCAATAATCTGACGCTGTTTTAGAAATGTCATATTATAAATATTTCTAGGACACAATTTATTGGTATAGTGCTGTTGCATTAGTTCATTTATTATATTCTCATAGATATTGCGCTGCGTGTACTTGTGCCCGTGAACATACCCCTAACTCCGACCAAAACGGAACTTGTTCCCCCTAAACTGGCATTCGAACCAATTGGCCGCTGGAACATGGGCCACATCTCTGCAAAACGGAATATGCTTTTTAAACGAAAATCGCCATGACGATGGTAATAAAAAAAATACAGATGGAAATCCTGATTCATGATAAAAATTTTCTTGCTGTCTGTCACATGCGTCACAGAGCTCCTGCGAGAGGTAGAAGATAGTGTACCATCACCACAATCGCCGCCACCATTGCCTAGCGACCCACCACCACCTAGACCGCCGAAGAAAGACAAGAGCTATCAACCGGAGGATGACGCGAATGAAGTTGAGGATTACTCGTCACCGAATGTCAAGACTGGCACTAAATCTATTTTAAAAAATACGAAGGAAGACAAGTACACTGAGGAAGTGAATAGAATACATGAGGAAATAAATCACGACGATGGTGAGTTGAAGCGATATAGGGCCAATCTGTCTTTCTCCATGCTTGTTTGTCTGCATGCCTGCTTGCCTGCCTCAATGCCTGCCTGCCTGCTTGCCTGCCGGCCTGCCTGTTTCCTGCCTACCCGTCTGACTACCTAATTGCCTCTTCCTCGAACAATCTATCTAATTATCTATCTCTCTCTCTCTCTATATATATATATCTATATATATATATCTATATATCTATATATATATATATATATATATCCATCCATCCATCCATCCATCCATCCAGCCAGCCAGCCAGCCAGCCAGCCAGCCAGCCATGCCTCCCTCCATCCGTCCACCTGCCTGCCTGCGTGCCTGCGTGCCTACATGCCTGCCTGCCTGCCTGCCTGCCTGCCTGCCTGCCTACCTACCTACCCAACAACCACCCACCCAATCGCCCAATCAACCACGCAGCCATCCATCCACGCACCCACCCACCCATCCACCCAACCACCCAGCCATCCATCCACGCAACGCAACCACCCAGCCATCCATCCGCGCACCCATCCACCCAACCACCCAGCCATCCATCCACGCACCCACCCTCCCATCCGCCCATCCACCCACCTACGTACCTGCCTGCCTATCTATATATCTACCCATTTATCTATCTATCCGTCTGTCTGTCTATCTGTACGTCCGTCCGTCTGCCCACCCGACCGCCCGCCCGTCCTTCCATCTATTCATCCATCCATCTATTTATTTATCTATCTAACCTATCTATCAATGTGTTCATTGATGTGTTTCATTGTGTTATTTGATGTCTCGGATTATAAGAAGATAACTATAACTAATTTAGGTATTTGACTCGGAATGCCTTTGACTTTACACGGGATGACCATTACTGGTATCAAGAGCTAATAATACCTCTTATCAACCTAATAATTACCTCTTATCAAGAGCTAATAATAGGTACTATTAGCTCTTACTATTATTTTACTATACAAGTGCATTGTTTTTGATTAGAAATAATATATTGTCTATTCTATAAATCGAAGGCGGAGAAGGAGACCACTCAATTGCCCATCGCATCGGCAGTGCTGATGGTTCGCAGACAGGTGCCGTAATCACGAGTGAGAGCAAAAAGTCAAACATAGGAGCCGGAAATCAGAAAAGTAGTTCAAAGGGGAAATCAGGTGCGAATAAATTGTATCAATCTAGTTGTGCGTGCATGCAGCGATACATAGTAGCTGCGCATATAGAGAGATCTACGTCGATCTATCCATCAACACCGGGTCATGTCCCATCTGTGATAACAGATATATATGGTGATGCAAATATCATGAGACGTACCGTTTATATGAAACTAAATGCAAGACGGTGCCTTACACATTCGCTATATGTGATACGCTGTACGCAAAGATAAAGCTTCGCTCAGTTAGACAAATATCGCGTGCTAACATTGCTGCAACTAAAGCAATCGACTTGAATCGCTCTGTTTTAGTGTTTGGCGATGGTAATATCTTCGAGGAACTGACGAGAAAGATCAAAAGTAAACGGCAAAGGAGTCAAAAACAACACCGCGATAAGGAGAAAGCCGTGGAGCGAGACAAGTCGGCCCCGAACGTTACCGTTATTGAGATAAGCAATCCGCAGCCCCTGGAACCGTAGGACAATTGGCCCGTTTCATTTTCCATTCCAATAGCACGATAAATGATGTAAATATTATGTTAGAATCAATCATATCATATCACACCGACGCACTGACGATATAGCTTTCATCGATATTTTTGCAATCAATCCACAATTAAAAAGGATCCACATAATGATCATGTAAATTAAAATTATCAATTGCTCTAACTAGATTATTGTATTGCAGGAATTCGCTATCTTGAAAGTACTTGATTACCCACAGCTACGTTCAGTAATGACGTTAATACTCTACCCAAACCAACGATTAATTCAATAACGGTAGATCTCCCGATTAAAATTTCACTGAAGTTTTAACAATGGCCGTTCACTAATTTTATTAACATTAAATGGACATGCGATTCGAGTATATAGCTATAGTAACGATGCTCTGCATAATTACACACAGTTATATCCACGGTATAGAGTGTACAAAAAGGTACAGGTGAATTGCAATGGCAGCCAACTATATGGCACTTACAAATTGCAGTGGAATCATTATATCAAGAGTAAGATAATATAGGATATTATCTTATATATCCTATCTATATATATCCTATATTATCTTACTCCTGATTATATAACACTCGCACCACAGTTCATAATTATGCATTGACATACAATTTACATTCTTGCGCCGATAAATTTTTGTTGCCGAGAATGCCTTTAAATTTTATTCAATTCGGCATTAACCACAATAAGAATAACATCAATGACATTGTTTTAACAGGGTAATAGACCTACATTTTGATTTGCTAATCTGCATTTAATTATTTATAATCACCCGATTAATGAGACCAAACAGAATGCCAATTGAAATGCTTAGTGTCATTTAAATATTGTGTTCATGGACGTTATGTACCTTGCTTCGTATGTAACCGAAGCAAGCTGACGAAAACGCGTTACGGGGCACAAACTGTTGTTATATTGTTCAATCGTCTTCTTAACGGATGTATGATTATGTTGCTTACATTATAACTGTTTTCCTACGATAAGACGCTTATTCCGTATTATTGGAAAATGTAGGCATTTATTTAACCAATTTCACGTAACAAAGGTCCGATTGCAGACATCTGTCAAATAAAAACAAACCAACGTAGTGAATAACAAGATTCTGGCGTATAACTGCTCACCTACGAATTTATTACTCCAGACACACTTTAGGAAAGGAGACCAAAATGTGCAATATTCGTTTTCGGCTCCAACGACTTCATAACAACACATGGCACCAACTGAATTCGTTAGTAGTAAGTTTGTCAATACTAACGGCGAGAATTGCGATTATTGCTTCCATTTCACCTAAAACAACATCAAAGGTTTTAACCCTAACGGTCTCAATATATATGTAATATATATATATAAATATATATACATATTTGTATATATATAGCGCCCGAGAAAGAGAGAAAATTGCGCGAGAGAGATACACAGAGAGAGTGTATGTATGCGTGCTTGCGTGCCTGCCTGCCTCATGCGTGCGTCCGTGCCTACCTGCCTGCATGCGTGCGTGCGTGAAGAGAAATATTGCGAGAGAGAGAGACAGGGAGAGGGAGAGACAAAGAGAGACAAACACACAGAGAGAGAAAGAGAGAGAGAGAGAGAGAGAGAGAGAGATGGGGGCTGAGAGTCACGGAGAGGGAGAAGGTAAACGAGAAGTCAAGAAAAGT